AGATTTTCCTGCCTTGGCTCAGAGCCTGCCACAGGAACAGCAGCAGTATTTCTAACACAGAGCAATCTCAGTGCAGGCTATGAAGAAACTGATTTTTATTTTGAGGAATCCTCTATTTCAACTGAGTATGAAACTATGATTACAATTACCCTTCGATTATCTATCCTTGGATTTGACATGTTTCTAGCAGCAAGCTTCAACCTCCCTAACTGCAACTAAACCCTCCAGGGGAAGAGAGGAGCACTCATTCAACGTCTCCCCCTCCAGCTTCCTTTTTTTGTTTCTTTTTTTCCCCCCTTCTTTGTTTTCTAGACTATTCATCCCCAATCCATCCCACCTTTTCTTATACATCATGTTTTTAGACCTTGGTGACATTTTGTTGTTTTCTGCAAACTCCCTCCATCAAGTTCATAACCTAAAGGTAAACTAGAAAGAGGGCTTTATTAGGATTTTAAAGGAAAATTCCGTCACATATCTTCTATGACATCCTCATTTATATGGCTAGATATCTCACTGAAGTGCCAGATATCTTGGCAACAGTATTACTTTTTTCCCCACTCATGTTCAGCTTATCTCATTTGCATATGCATACATTTTAAATAAGTTCATGTACACAAAACAGATTTTTCACTGCACAACTCTGATTAAAAAATCACTTATTTACAGCTCTGTGAGCACTGTAAATAATTTCAGCTGCTCAAAAGCACTGAATACAGACAGCATTGAATAATATTAGCACTGACCAAAATTCTGAACCTAGAGCCATTTTAGATTATATTTTCATTAAAACCTGAAGCAGATGTAGATCTAAATTACTGCACAAGGACTAGAAGATAAATATGAACGAATTTCTAAGAACTAACAAGCTTCTAGGCATGGGTATTTTATTTTATACTAAGTTAAAGCTCAGTCACACTTTTAAACAAATTCAGCTCTAGTTTTAAAACTCCATGCCCAACTCTCCAAGCAAACAGATGTTAAAATGTGCCAGCAGATGTTACAGTACAACTTGACTTGCCCACACTTCAGATTTAAAATGCCTCAGTGAAAAAGTTTAGCTAAAAACATTTTAAACTAGCCTCCTCTTCTCTACAGCCTTTTCCTGATGTTCTCTTTTGGTCCATTTATAGACCCTACTGCACATGTGTGGTTTCTCTCTAAGCCCACAAGCAACTTTCCTTGCCAACAATGCTTACAAAACTTGGAATAAATCACTGGGGGAAGGATTTAATTTATGCTCTCCTTCCCCTGGGAACACCCTGAAGCACAAGCTCCTAAACTGGCACTCCAAACACCAAAGAGGACAGAAGAAAGGATCAGACCTTCTCCTCCTGGAGCTGAGCCAGCACTGACACATTTGTCTGCAAACCACAGTGTCCTTTCTCGTTCTGACCTCCATATCCTCTCCTTCTGCTCACAATCCCCTGCCTCACACCTGGGCCTAAACCAAGAAAACAGCAAGATCTCTGTCCATATTCTTGTGAGAAAGATAATGTCATAAGAATGAAATGAAATCAAATTGGGTTGCCCTGTTCCTCACAGTACTGCAAGAAACACATCATGAATGAAACAATCACATCTTCACTGAGAGAAACCAGAAAGTCAACTCAGGAGGTTATTTTTCAAACAAGGTGCCAACTCTATTGTGCTTTCCTCACTCCCAAATAAATCCATTAGCAAGTATACAGAGTGAGTTTTACTTGGCTTTTCATCATTTTGCTGACGATGCATTAGTCATATTTTCAAGCCTAAATGGTGTGAACAAAATACACATTTAGGCAACTACAACCAATAAGTATGCAAAATGTAAAACCATTAGCACATCTATTTACATAAAAGTAGAGGAGCAGCTTTCAGTACCTGCTCACATTGCTCCAGTTTCCAGCATTATTTTATCTCCCAATTTTAAAGACCACAAGACAGAATTCTAAAATATCTCTTGTATCTATCATAGGATTTTGTACAGCCTCATCTGGACACAAATCTACTAGTTCAACATAAATTCTTGTTTCTCAGCTTCAAAGAAAATATTTTTTTCTCAAACTTACTACAAATGCAATTTGAATTCTTCACTGGATGGCACTGGCAGAAGCTGTTCTCAGTTTTAAAATGAGGTCTGGCTTTCATTTTTAACAGTCTGGTTTATGTCATTCCAGCAAGTCTGTGAAGCAAGTATGAATGCCATATTTATGCCTTCTAAGAGGACTCCTTTTGATGCAGCCTAGGATTCAATTTGCTTTCTGGGCTGCACATAATTTCAAGTACTGATGACAATATAATTGTAAAAATAATTGGATTCTTTAATATCAAAAATGCTTCTGCTTTCTTATTTTCTATTCACATTTCATAGTTCTTTTTTCTGTACTATACCCCCACCCCAAGCTTCAAAGGCTTTCCACTTACAATCCTTGTTATCCAAAAAGTCATATCAAAATCAGGCAAAAAAACCATTAACATCTACATCTCACAGCTATTAAATTAATAAATATATTTCTGTACTTACTGCATTGCATACCTCCCCTATGTATGTTTATATTTTAATTAATAACAATAATTATTGTATTCTGATTAATTACTTAAGCAGATATAAGGTCTCAAGGAATGCTCAACAATGTTAATCAAGTATTGAATCAGCAGTGGTCAGGCCCTAACATACTCCTATTAATATTTTTTTTAAAATACAGTGAGGCAGCACCAGGTCTCCATTCTATAAAGCGAGATCCTAAGTATCTGTCTCAGAGGAAACCAAGAACTTGATTCAGTTATTGAGAACATAAGTCTTTAGCGATTTTTGAAATCCTCAGGAATTCATAACACTGAAGGCAAAAATGTACAACTCCTCATAGTTTAACAATACAATAAGAATTTGGTCACAAGCTGAAATCAGTGCCATGAGCCTGAAAGTCACTATTGAAAGGTTTTATGATAAAGAACCATTATAAAACAAACTATATCAACATAATGATATGTGTATGAGTAACTTTCAGCATTGACTTGACTTCACAACAATGACCTTTCAGTTTATAACAATAACCATCACTGAATATGGGAAATCCTTTCTACTTCACAAGCAACCTCAAACTGATAAACATAATAAAAGCAAAAGACAAAAACCAAAGGGAATGCTATATTACAGACTGCTACTACCAACAGATTGAGTCAGGGAAAATTACACAAATCCAAATGTCAGCATAAAACACTGCCACAAAATAAGGGAAGGAGATGAACTCTCTTAGAAAGACAGAATTGTTGAGACTGGAAGGAACCTCTGTAGATCCCTAGTTTAAACCCCCTTCCTCAAAAGTTGGGACAGCAGAGCAGATTGCTCAGGGCCTTCTCTATTTGGGTTTTGAGCATCTCCAAGGATGGAGACTGCACAACATCTCTGTGTGATACATTCCAGTGTTTGACAAAACTCATAGTAAAAAAAGTGAGGGTTTCTTTATGCCTTAGTGGAATCTGGAATAAGATTTTGGGGCATGACAACCATCCCTCCTTGAAAAACAAGCAGAAAAACAAGTTTCCATATTTTGAATGGAAAAGTTTGTGCTTAGTTAGAACAAGCAGCTATTTAGTTGGGCTAGGAGAGATATGCTGTCTTTTTTATATGTACACCTGCAGCTCTAGGGGATGTTAGGAGACCACATGATCAGATAATGGCAGACAGGTTAACATACATGAATCAAAATCATGTCAGAAAACACTGACAGAACTAAAAGGCAATGCAGACAAGATGTTGGCATTTCCAGTATCGATACCAGCAGAAAACATTCAAGTGACAAACACAATTAAAGAACTAAAAGCTACTTCCAAAGGCACAAAAAGCTTTTAGCTCACTGTAGTGTCACTTAAAGACAAAGTAGGGTTATAAGACAGTTGGTAAGTTCTACCACAAGTCTTTTCTGACAATGCTTATTTTATCTGTTCACCGTTCATGAATTGATTAACACCTTCAGCAAGAAGAAAGATGTTGTTTAAAAACACACAGAGTACTACACTTATTCCTTACTCCTGAGTGTTACCATCAACAGAAGTCAAACTGACATAGCAGATTTTAAACATACTTGTAAGCTTGGGAGAAAATTCATGTAGAGAACAATTTGGGGAATTCTCATTTCTTTCCTATATATTACTTCTTATTCCCCATATCTTGTCTTTATTAACAATGCATTCTGGTATATCTTTGATTTTTTATTAAATGTAGCAAAAAATCTGCATATCTTAAGACTGATATGTCAGGAAGATTATGATATTTTATAATGGTCTTCTCTTGACTGCTACAGAACTCACTTTTTGGTTCAATTCATCCACAGAAAACTATTCTACATAGACAAAAGAATGAAGCAATGACCAAAGAAGTACAGATACCACTGAAAGAGCAAACTAGAATCCTTGAATTCTGCCAGTTCTAGGTGAAAAAGGGAAGAGAATGAGGAGGAAACTCATCAGCTGATGCTACCTGTAACCACCTCATCTAAGAATGCAAAAGGAAACATCATAAAGCAAATGTAATCAGGTATAAGACACTTCTCAGTTGGGGAAAAAAAAAAGGAAAGGTAAGGGGAAATAGAAAGGTGTATGATTAAAGAAGAGGCAAAGGAGAGAAAAAAATACAGATTTTTTTTTTTTTCCCCAAACCATGGCCATGTGCATAATATACATAAAAGTCCTTACCTTTTTCACTGACACTTTCACTTTCTATCTCCACATCTTCACAGCTAGTATATTCTGGTGTTGATGCCCCTTCTTCCTCTGAGCTACTAACTGACATCTGCCTTTTCTTTCCGCCTCTTTTTGCTCTATGAGGCTTTGGAGGGGATGGCCGCACTGATTCCGACTGGTCAGAGCTAAGGGAATCATTCCTTAGCATGGTCTCCATTTTCTCCCGCTTTGCTTTTCGCATGAGAATAGCAGAGCTAGGATCAAGGCGGCTCTGTTTTTTAAAGGACTCGTGGTTCTTGTATTCTACGTGTTCTATAGGAACTGGACTATGCCTGGGAGTTGGTGGGCTATGATTAGTTAATTGTTTAGAAACAGAAATTCTTACATCACCTGTTCTGTCTATAGAGTACGACCTCTGAGTTTCCACAAGAGATTTTCTGTCCTGAGTTCCCTGTAATTGTGAGCGTTTTCCTAATTTATTCTCAGGTACCTCCGCTTCCTCCATTTCTGTGTGTGGCAAAGCTACATCACTGTGCCTTCTCTCATGCCGTGCTTTAGAAACTTTGGCGTGCATGCGCATCTGCTGCTCCTCAGGGTGTGGTTTTACAGGATATCTTGCCAGATTGGGATCACTCCTGTAACGGGTATGATATTCATCTTCCTTCCTTTGTTTTTCATCATCAGGCACTTTGCCTTCCTCAAGTTTCTCTGGCATGTCTGGGTAGTCCTGTGACTTGCCTTTCTCCAGCCTTCTACCTTCGTGCCGTTCTTTCCGCTCCCTGTCATCTGTTGGTCCTTCTTTTGGAAGTGAGGATTTTGGCACACGCTTACGCTCACTCTTTAAACCTTTGCCATTCTGGTCTGAAACCAATACTGCCTTCTTCCTACAATGAAAAGGAATACAGTAATATAAAGATTTGAATGGAAAACAGAAATACTTGCATCCACAGTTATGGAAAACAGATTATAAACCAGGATAAGCTGTGGCAAGGCAGAAAAGCACTGGATCCATTAACATGAATTAAATCTAATAATCCTCTCATTTACTTTTATTTTTCCAATAGCAAACAACTTCCAGAGTCCACAAAAACATAAATTATGTATAGTCCAATTAACGAGTAAAATCAAAAAGGATGTTAACATGGATAAATACAGATAAAGAGAATTTACCCATGTAAGTAGGAAGACTCAGAGTCATCTTTGTAGTAGCTGCAGCACTATGACGGAGTACTGGAGTAAGTTCTCCACTTTTCTGGCACCAGTCATGAGAGTTACAAACTAACTACACAATTCACTTCAAGTGCCCTGACAATATAGATATAAATACCACCAAATGGAGTATCAACCACATTAATATTACAGAAAGAAGTAATATGGATATTAAAAAATGCAAAAGAGGATATATCCAGAAACAATAATATTTGCCCTAGTTTGCTTAATCTTATTAAAACTCTAAAAGCATGTAACAAATATATGTGTAAGTATATCAAGAAAAGCAATTTGACCCTTGAGATAAATTAATGGTATTCCTTTCTCTAGTAATGAAAGGGGTTGATTTTTATTTTTTTTTCTGTACAGACTAAGCACAAAACAATGAATAATGAAGCTGCATGAGATGAAATTATTTTTTCTCCTCTTTCATCTTTTTGGGAAAATAAGCAAACCAAAGAATCACAAATATGATGGATATTTTTATTTCTCTCATAATTTCAGTTGTCCTTTGGTTTACCAGTTCACATATGAATCCATTGATTTTGAGGAACATTGAGCAGTTATACAGTGTATTTGAGATGAACCTGCACCAGGATAAAGCCACTAGGACTTTGGGTTTTTTTGCACAACTGATACATCTTTGGATTACATATCAAAGATCCTCACAGAAGCATTTGACAGAACAAAGTTGTGCATTATCCAAGTTTAGTTCCCATACCTTCTTCTCTCATCTCCTGTTCCTCCTGAGCTTTTGGCAACAAATGGGACCTGAGCTTAACATAGATGCTCTTCAGTCAGAAACCTTGGACTTCCTTTGAAGGTCTCAGTGACAAATAGAGAACACTACTATTGTAAAATTAAGATAACCATCTCACTTTCAGACAGTAAAGAAGAAATAAAAAATGGTTTGCTGCCCTAAAAAAGACAACTACTCTGGGGGCCTCCCCAGTGATGGTGGGGACAAGTCAACAGAATTAGGGGAGGGCACCGCGTGTTCATTTATAACATACATACATGTAATACCAACCTGAGTTTTGGTACACTTAAACCCAGACAGAGCTCATCACACAGTAAGTTACTAGCCACTGTTCATCGTCCATTTTCAGCTTCAATAGCTAGGAAAAAAATCATCAACTGTTCTGGTCAAGGGAGAATATTCTATGGCAGGCTCTTGTTTTGTTGCCACAGGCTCCCTCCTCAATTACTCTGCCATCTGCCAGGCAGCAGGCAAAAGAGCAGCAACTGCTTCATCACTTTAGCCTCTCTTGATTTGCTGCTCCTCAACCCATTCATCACAGTGAACGCAGCTCAAGCGTTTACTAATTCACTCACTTAAAATGTAATAATTTGCTTCTGCTTGGCTTTATTCTTGTACACAACTTGGTCTGAATTCCAGATAGTACTATGGCTGTTTTTCATGAATGTTAACTTCACAGGAGCAAATGAGCTGCTTTCATTCTATTATTTTTAATAATAAAACTGGAACTAACATTTATAAAAAGCTAACACGTAAGGATATCTAACAGAACTCCACAGGGTGGTTTTTTTTGATTGGGTGTGGGTTTTTCAGGGAAGTGTTGGTTTTAAAAATTTGAGACAAATTAAAGGCTTCCTCTGTTTAATAATGCCAGCTTTGGCATCTAAAAGTAACACACAATTCTATATTAAAAATGTATACCAAAATGCATGGAATTACATGGAAATAACCCTAAAATAGTATTTTTCCCCATTTCCATTGCACAGACCAAATCAGACAATCTATTTTCTATCAAAATAACCTTCCCTGGTCAGTAAATCGACTTATTCTTTGCTTTTACACAGTTCTAAGCATTCACAAGGCCCAGCTGAACTAGCATTGGTAATGGTGAGGCTCTATCAAGACAGAAAGCATTACCTCTCTTTTGGAGGTTCACTTCTAGACCTCGATGAAGCTTGTTTTTGGTCCGGGCCCATAGCTGGCTGAGATACTTCTGCTCCTTTCCTCCGGTCAGGCTGCACACTGGGTGTAGAGACCTCCTGTGATGAGGCAGCTGCTGTACTTAAGGGAGTCTGTGATCTCGATCGCTCTTGAAGCCTTGGTTTCTTTTCTCTCGGTGCATCCGAGCTTCCACCAGTTGCTGTATCACTCAGTGTCCCGTCCTGGCTGGGTGAGGGCTGTGGTCCACTTCCAAAAAACCACGCTCCAGATTTCGTTAGGATTTCTTGTTGCTTTCGACATAAATTGCATACCCACATAACCTAGTTGAAGACAACAAGAAGAGTCAGTGCAGCTACCTCTCAGACCCTGAAATGCATGCTCACTATCACAGAGCAGGTATGATCTCTTGCTCTCTGAACTAGTGAGGCTGGTGCTCATGACAGGACCCAGAACATGCTTCTCCAAGCACTGACTACACTGGCTAGAGCCAAGCATCCTACAGGCACATGCTATGCGAGCTTCTCCAAAATGTGTTCTCAACATACATCAGTCCTACCTGTAGCAATCCTCCCTCAGCCCAGCCCTAGCTCTCTTCTGAACACACACTGACAACATTACCAATGGCTGTTGCTGGTGTTGATGCAGCTAGGGGAGGGGTGGGTTGGGTTGTTTTCATTGGTGTGGATCACCGTCAGGACAGACAAGCCTACCAGACTGTAAACAGGATTTGTACCTCGGGTGGCAGTGTCCTGCCCAGCTAACTTTCAGCTTCTATTGCCACAAACAATTGACACAGTATTTCCCTTTAATTAAATTTTTCTTACATAACACAACATTATCCTGCAAACAAATTCAGCATTTACTGTGCACGGTTTTAGCTACATCTACAGCAACTACTTACCAGAGATGTAATGTAAGACCTAAAGAAATCTACTAATAGAAAACTAAATACACCAATGAAAAGAATACAGAAGTACCATACTTTGTGCTACGTGAAAATTATCATTTACCATCTCTTTGAGTTAGTGCTGTAAATAATAAATAAATAAACGTGTCCTTGGAAAACACGATTAAGCTGTGTACACAAACGGTGCTTCTTGGTTTTTTTTTTTTAATTTACATTTGGGGTTTTTAATTCCTTATACACAGATAAACAGGAGCACACACATTAAAGCAAGACTTTATGTTTCAAGTCTATATACAGTGCCAGATCATCTTATGTACAGGAGCAAATCACCAGAGAAAAATAAAAAGTTGATCAAGACTCTAAAGTGTGTTAAAAAAAAAAAAAAAAAAAAAAGAGGAAAAGACAAAAGGAGTTTTGAGGCAATAGAACAAAAAAGGCAAAGGAAGGATACACAAGAGACAGAAGGACACACAAAATTTTTGTCAGAAATAAAAATAGAGATGAAAGGAAACAAAGCTGATCATTAACAAGGAAAATGCTAAAGAAATCCTTCTCATTTCATACGGAAAGATTAAAAGAATGGGTAAAATTGCAATGAGGGTAAGAAGGCTGAGAAAGTTGGAATGAAAAATATGCTTTTTTTGTTAACACAGGAATGATGCAACAGTCACGAAATTATACAACATTTAAAACCAAAAAGAAGAGAAAAAATCACTTTATGGAAGAAACTACAACAGGATAAAGCTCTGGTACTGAGCTCTCCTATTCTCTGGTCTAAGGAGGAGGTGCATGTTTTATGTGGCAGGAGGGAAACTTTAGGCATTTTACATATTTAAAGTAAGATTTATTTAAGACATCCTAGAACAGACTGTTTAGGTCTGAAAACAACATCAGAACTTCCAAAAGCATTTCTGCACTGTTGGACCAAATGACACAGAGAACACATCCAACTCCTTCCCCTGTATCTGGATTCTGTTATAGTTCTTCTATTTAAGAAGGATCATAAAATAAATGTTACTGTATGAATTTAAAAATCCCAATCTTAATCAAAAGCTACAGTCATTCCAATGGGGGCACAAACATATATTGTGATAAAAATAGATAACCATTAGGAGGATAACAGGAACAGCAACTTGGAAAAAATAAATGCTAGTCCTTTAACAGCAACAACAAAAAAATCCCACAATTCCAAAATGTCTTATATCCTTCATCTACTACACCTCATGATCCAGAGATTCAGTTTATCAGACTACCTGTTCTAAACAGAACACACTTTTAGTCTCTCTGATCATTATTACAGGTATTCAAAAACTAGCTAGACTAAAAGGAAAAAATCCACATTTTAAAATGCCTTTACAGAATCTGACACAAATGTTAACTCCTTAGACAGCAAGTGTGCATGTGTATAAAATCTATGCCAATGCTATAAATCAAAGTATACAACAAAAAATGTTGTTACCTGTATTTTATCAGTTTACAAGAAAAGTTGAAAAAAGTGTTAATAAAAAAAGAAATCAACTGGAGTTTGTTTGAAGGAAGGATAAGGAATACTAAAGTAAAATTCAAATATTCTAATTAAATTACATATATGTGTCTATGCAATCACATTTAAATGTGCAAAGATGGTAACATACTTCATTTACAATTTAATGAATTTGATAATTTAAAATATGCATAAAATATGTAATGAACATCAAGAAATTAGTGTTCATTTGCATAATAACCTTTGATACTGCAATTCATTTTATGCAAAAGGTTAGGAGATACAAACAAATAGGAATAGCTAATGCACAAATAGACACAGAATACTGAAAGAAGAAATACTAGACATGTAAATACAAACCCATTTTCTTACAGCTGTCTTTAAATTCTGCAGTTTGGACACAATATATACCAATCACCACAGATCACACATGTAGGAAATCTGCATTATACTCACACAGAAGCTATACTACCATCCCTGTTTAGGAATATCTTCAGGACTTAAAAAAATGCTATGGTTGCCTTGAGATATACTTGGTCCAAAAGGAAAAATAATAAAAGCTTTTCTTAAAGAGGGAACAAAAAAAATCAAAACTTGAGGTGACAGCTGAGTTTCAGTGACAAAACTGTATATTGAAAAACATTTTTAGAGAAGTATGTGGAGCAAGCAATTTAGCAGCATGCAGGAATTATATCCTGATTGAATATACTGGGATGTGGTCCAAACTAATCTAAACTAAAGCAGGTCTGTGTAATAACTTATCTTAACAATCCACAGATGTTAGGCAACCAAACAAATGCTCTGATGAAGGATTACAGTTCTCTAATGTGGCTTCTGGACCTCCACACGATGCATCAGTAAAATGAAGAGTGTTAGACAATTTTACTCTGGCCTGTCACTTCAAAAATAGTTTCTGTTTACTCTTTTCTGGATGGGGAGTTCTGATGCAGTGCTACAGTAAGTCATTCAAGACATCCAGGGTCTGGTTTGTGTTGTTGGGTTTGTTTCTGCTTTATTGCATCCTTGCATATGTCAGTGCAATTCCACACATGAAGCTATTAAAGAGAACCAGCAAAGGGGTGTTCTTCATTCAAAGGGTTCATATGCATGGCTCTGGAAAAATGTGCATTTTCACAGCATAGCAAAGGGTTCTGGGCTTTAGTGCTACATAACAAAAAAAAAAAAAAACAGTGGCACACACAGGACTCAGCAGAGGTGGGTTAACAGTTCCCACACAGATTCACGTGGAAACTTTACAGGCTGCGTGAAAACATGCTAGAAGGATCCCATGCTTGCCTTCAGGTGGAATACAGGGTATTTCATTCACAGAAAAAATATTCCTCAAACTTACTCTCACAGGTACTGCTGAATGTGATCCACAATGAGGAGGAACAGTATTCCTGTACTAACACAACATGAAATTCCAACTTGAAAAAGCCCATAGTAAATAATACATACAACTAGACACACAGAAAAAGAGCATTTTCAGTTACAAAAATAAGAACAATTCTTCATAATTACATATTTCAAACCTGCATTTTAGAATGCAGAAAAAAAAGATTTGTTAATTTTTTTTAAAAATTCAAATTTGGAAACTTCCAAACATGCACTGGGAGGCTAAAGTCACCTTTGGGGGAGGTTGGGGGGAAGGCATAAAAATGATAGCAAATTCATATGACACATGCAAGGAAAACTCAGACTAAGGTCAGAGCAAGTTTCCCAAATCCTTCACCCAAGCCCAGATTCTGAGGAGGCTCCATAAGGAGCACATTCCTTCATGCTTCATGAGTTTAGAAATTGCAAACCCACAGTTGGGCTGACTCCCACACATCCTGCTTCATCTCTGGGTGGCAAATTGGGTAGCAAGTGTGCTAATATAGCAGGCCACAGGCTATTCCTTACTGAACCTTCACACTGTGTTCATTATTTCCCTTCTAAAGGCTGTACACACAACATTTTTTCAGGTTATTGATTTTGTTAACCTTCCTTCTACGCACTTTTTGAAGACACTAGTTATTTCAGACAGATCTGATTAGGCAGACCCTCTCCTTTGCCTGAGGCACCATTAACTTCAGCAGAGCTTGCCACCACCCTACAAGTCATCTCTTGAAAGTCAGAGGGAAGAAATGTTAACAGTTTGCACTTACAAAACTATTCATTCACAAAATTAAGTCAGATTATGCATCACTTAATGTTTCTCAGATAACATAAAAACATGCAGCAAACCATGAAATTAGTACACAGCATTGCATTTATCTCTTTTGCTATACCAAAATGATTTCTGTAATAAAACCCTAGCTAAAATGTCACAATGGCTTCACTCCATTAAAATATAAATAAATGAACCTGAAAATCTATTTGAATACTTACATTAGTCCAAAATCTTAATAAGTAAACAACTCTACCTTCCTAATGAAATGTGCTTGTGAATCCAAGCTTTCAGTAAATATATTTTTCAAAATGGTGCAGACAGCTGAGTTTGTTCAATAGCTCCTTCTCAGCAAAAAACAAGGCCTTCTCCCCAACCCCCTCCTCTTTTGTTCTTCTTTGGCCCTAGGAGGGTTTCTCTTTCTCCTTCTTGCTCCCAGGTCCCCCATGCCACATATTCCCTTGTATCCTGTTCCTTGACTGTCAGGTTCTCCCAGAACCACTTGTATTTAAAAATTCAGTAGAAATGTATCTGTAATTTTTTTAATAGGTTTCATTTTTGGCACATCTATTCTTTTCTCATGGATGGTACGAAAAGTAGTGAGACCATGTGGCCAGGAACAAAGACAAATGGGGATAAGGGGATGTTTTGCCTATGGCAGTGTCTCAAAATCTCCTGCTAAATTACATCTTGAAATGACACCAATACTAGCACACTAAACTTGCACAAAACCATTTCTGAGCACTGCAGCCAAATGACACGAAATAACCTGCATCTATGC